GAAGCACCTACTCAAAATCTTTAAAGAATACTGAATTGAAAATTTAACTTCTCTATTTTGTACAGTCCACGTGAATATGAAAAGACAACATGTTCTCATCAAGGCTACTGAAAGGAGACGGGGGGGGGCGGGGGGGTAGGGGGAAGGGGAAAAAGCTGCCCTCTTAATAAAGCCCCCTCCACCCACCCGCCGCAGCACAGCGACCCTGCAGCGAAAACCAAGGGCCAGCAAACAGCCGTGGGCAGCTCTCCTTACTGGCTGCAGGAAGTATCCCGTGCTTGGAAGCAATACTGGTGCAACCACAAAAAAGGTTATTTTAAACATTGTGCTTCTACGTCAACTAACAAGATTATTTTAAGATGCTGCAGCCTACTCTTGATATTTAAATTTTTATTGATTCCGAAAATAAATGAAAAGAATATTAGCAGTTTATACAAAACAGAGAAGACATTCTTACGATTGATTAGAAATTTACCATGTGCTCTGCTATAAAATTAATAGTAATCCAGGAAATACTGTAATTTTACTCTCTGAAAATCTGTCCTCTAACAATGTCAGCATTGTATATTCATAGTTCTGAAATGAAAGAATAGATTCTTTAATACTGAAAAATGCTAGGCAGACTTTCCCCCTTTACATTCTATGCCTAAAAAAAGATAGGGTACCTGTTACCATGCCTAAAAAATGATAAGGTACCTGTTGCCATGCCTAAAAAAAGATAGGGTACCTGCTGTCAATATATTATAGATACCCAAAATAAAACATCCTTTTCTTTGCACTTATAATGGTACTGACATCCATGAAACACTATAAAAATTCCCTTAATTTCTTATGTTCTATATATTAAATTCTGCCTGTCAAACGAAAATGCCAAAAAAAAAAATTAAACTTTACTTGGTAACATGCCCACTGAACTGACCTGAGGAGAACAGTCCACACTGTAAACCCACGCCCCTCGGACAGAAGAAGGGAAACGGCCGGTGCCAGCACCGCACACAGCAGCGTGGTCGGAGGCGGCAGCCCTCCCGGACCGCCGCCTGAAGAGGAAGCGGGAGAACCTGCGTCTGAAGCTGCCCGACTGGAACCGCTGAGGCCAAAAGGGTTGGGGTGATGACCCCACCACGCCCTGCGCCAGGCACCTGGAGCACGGCAAGGAATCCTGGCAACCGCGTGTTAAAAGGGATTCAGTCACACTGCAGAGTAAACAAAACGATGAGTTAACTAGAATTCAGGGGAAGTGACTCCAAGCCCTGGGGACGTTTGATTGAAAAAAGGAAAAGCCTTGGGAGAATGATCCTCAAACCTTTTGGTCTCAGGACTCCTTTATACTCTTAAAATAAATCATCGGCCGGTGGGCCCACTGTGCACTATACAGCTGATATAGCATAGAAGTGTATGCACACTTGAAACCTACAGAATCTTATTAACCAATATCATGCCAACAAATTTAATTAAAAAAAAAGAGAAAGAAAAATTATTGGGACCCAAAAGAGGTTTTGTGTATGTGACATATATCTTCAGATATCTGCCATGTAAGAAATTAAAATGGAGAAAAATTTGAATACATACTTAGTTTAAAATAATAAACCAATTATATATTAGCATTATTATGAAAAATAATTGTATTTTCAACAACTAAAAAATTTAGTGAGAAGAGTGGCACTAATACGTATTTCTGAAAATCCCAAATGTCTAGCTTAATGGGAGACAGCTTAATTCTAACAACTGTTCTTGTGTTCAAACTGTTGTACTAAGCTGTCTTGGTTGTTAACATGCAAAGAAAATCCATACTCATACAGATATACGTATATAACTAGAAAAGGGAGTAATATTTTAACAACCTTAATATTTTCATAGTCACACTAAATGCATTGTTCTCTCTTGCACTTCAAATGAAAGCTGTACTCATGCATGATTTTATGACGTAATACACTGGTTACACGGCAAACACCAGTTCACACGAGGTATGGAGACCTTCTGAGTTATAACTCACTCTGTTTCGCAGGACGCTAAACCACATTCGGGAGTTTTACCAGCAACACCATCAAACAATCTGTACTGGGAGGTTGTTGAGCTCAATCAGATCAGTGGCAGATTCAGGTTCTAAAAATTCTCATTTTTTAACTTAGAAGCTTGACGTTTACCTTGAGTAACACTTCCTTAGAGTAACAGGTTTTTTTCTAGAAAACGTCTGCCATATACTGAAGACTGAATCACCACAGTCTGTCTGTCGTCTGTTACTCCTTTTTTCAATTAAAAGGTGCTCCGTGATGGAAGTGGCCGGGCTCAGTCTGCACAGCAGCTCAGCACCCCCCCGCCCCGTGCCCCGCGACAGAGGGGGACACCGGTATGCGCAGCAGAGGCGTTCTGTGCACGTTCCTGTTTTGCACGTGGAAAATAAAAGGACGGCATGCAGGGTATTTTTAAATATCAATAATTGTTGCTGCTTCCCCAAGGATGCTAAGTGAAACCGGCTTCCGCAGCGCCTCTGGGTGCCTGTGAGAGCTCTAACTCTGCAGGCCTCACCCAGGGTCCCGGGCCTCCCGCCGAGGCCACTCTGAGGAGCGCTGTCTTGGGGAAGGCTTGCTAGTTTCCCTCATGCTCCCAATCCCCGTCCTCCCAAAAACCTAGCTTTTATCTAGTTCCTGACTTACTGGTCCCCCACATAAGATTTCTCATGAATAACAGGTTAAACAATTTTTTAAATGAAAAACAGAGTCAGTAATATAACTAAGTAACATCTAAAGTTATCTTTTGGCTTTACATTCCAAGGATCTGAAATAAACACTAAAATTGGTCGCCAACTAAGACCTGGACTTTAAGAGGCATCACCTGTATTAATTTTTAAAATACATTATATAAGACATCCAATAGAAAGCATGAGAATGGCTAATTCCCTTACTGCACAATTAAGACTCTAGATTCCATTCAATTTCAGGTACAAATGTAACAGTAATCTAGTGCTGAGTGGTTAATAAAAATGGTATCCTAAAATAATAAGTTGGTTTGTAGAATATAATAATGACATTAAAATGCTGTTTCTACATCTTTTAAAGTACTTGTAAGATCTTCACATTTGAAATATTTTCATCATTCATATTGATACATATTTTTAGAATCATTTTGTTTTTTCAAAATGCACACAGAATCCATGCCAACTGCCCAGTATTTCTGTAAGACCCTTGAGATCCCGGTCTTGCCCTTACGCTGCTACTGGGCACCCATCTGATAGTGGGAAGCAATGGAAGGCCTGGAGCCCCTCGCAGCATTATGCTCTGGGATGGTTATTTAATGTTTTTAATACAAACCTAAATGAATAGCTGTGAGTTTCAGTTATCCATATTACATATCACTTCAACAACTGTGAATAATTATACATAAGACTTCCATTGATTTAGCTGAAATACCATACATACATTTTGATTAACACATACTTCAAGGAAGAAATAACAGCTAGAGAAAACTTACACAGGGCAACAGAATTCATTAAAGTATGCAACTGATTTTGTGCAACAATTAAAAACACAAACCCAAAGCAGGCTGCACGCCTCTCTGGCGTGCCCCACAGCACCTGGCTCAGCGCGACGGCCTGCTGTCCCACTCACGTGCTCTCCAAACGAGAGAGGACAGAACTTAGGAGCAGGACTAGAAAACTACAGAATCTGAGAGCCTCATAGAGCGCAAACCCCGTAATACCGGAACAAGAGGGCAAGCTCTTGGGGCTTAGAGGAGACGGGCACTGGGAAAACGAACAGAGCGTCCTCACTAATTGCTGAACACATGGCCTGCGTGAATCCTCCTCCCTCCCGCTTCCCCCCAACACCCCCCCGCAATTCTTCTCTGCCTGAGGGAACAAGTGATATTCCATGAGCACCTGAAGAACAAGCGGACGGTCCTGAATGAAAAACCAGGGGACTGGCAATGGGCAGCTAGGCCGAGCGAACCGGACTTCATGTGCCCTGAGGCAGGGCACAGGGCAGCGGCATGGCAGGGGGGCGCAGCGGCAGACAGTGGTGCCAGCTGAACCCCGAGAGGGAGGCCTCAAAGGCCACGCCAGGTCAGGGCCAAAGGCTTTGTCATAAGAGGATGACAGAACCAGCATTTTAATAAGACTATTTTGGTTATTCTGTGGTTTTAAAATTAAAATCAACCAGCCTTAAGTTAATAATGTGAGATTTCCCTATCTGTTTACTTATCTATTTATTTTCCTGTTTAGACCTTTAATGGTGTAAGCAGAAACTTAAGTGTGATCTATTATTTAAAGTATGCTCACAGGCTCCAGTGATAAAAGCATATACAACCATTAGAAAGGTAGTATATATTTGATAAAAATGAAAGTGCAATTACACATTTTTACTGGAAGTCTCAGAACATTTATAAACTTTATGTTATTATACAGTGTAAGTATAAATAACAAGTCGCATCTAAAGTAACACCACATATTGAAAAGTTTTGTAAGTTCTGGTCACCAAAATTCTATCTGCTGTGATTAACAGAAGAATGTTATTCATTTGTTGCAAGTTGTAATCTCTCATGTGTAATGCAGAAATGGGATGTGTACAAATAGTCACGAGAACAACTGATTGCAGAAAAATCCAATATACTTAATTTTAGATAGTAATGGTACCTTACAACTTAATTAAATAGGAGTATAACTGAGAAACTAAAAAATAAGTCATGCATTACAAAAAATAAAAATATTTTAATGGCTATTTATAAACACCACAAAAAAGGGCCTTCCCAGTTGTAGTAGAAGGGACTGTCTTTCGTAATTCTAACTGCTCAATATTTGTATGACAATATTTGTTTATAATGCTTAACACAAATTATCTTTATCTTTTTGCAACAAATATATCTTAAAGTTTTAAAAATTTGTATGATCCAGAGTGTCAAACTCAAATCACTTCCCTAGAAGAACCCAAAACACCACTCAGAAAACCTATTGTACAAAAATAACCCTGACAGCAGAATCCTAGCAGCGTATATAAGAAAATTCTTACCAGTTTTTCATCAACTGTGATGAGCTGTGCGTCTCGAGTTTGATCCTGTGCCAGCCTCCACGTGGAAGTACTCAATGACCTGCAGTGCAAAATTTTAAATTTAAAAGCAATCCATGCAATGAGAAAAGAGAGACAGACAAATACTACACAGACAAGCTACTTTGACACTGTTGGTCTTATAAAACAAAAAGAACAGAAAGAAAGAGAAGAGGGCACCAAAGTCCTCCCCCGCCCCAGCAGGCTCTGTCTGAGAGCGGGGTCAGACTCAGCTGACAGCTCCGCGCTGGCCGCAGGGTCTGCCAGCCTGCAGGCGCTAGGCCACCCACCAGTGCCAAGGACTGTGCTGTGCCTGGGAGTGGGCAGCTGGCTCGCACGACAGGGAAGAAAAAGGCAAAGCTTTAGCAACTCTTCTGGAATGCCGATCCCTGGGTGATGGCATCAGAATGAGAAAGAAAAATCCCAATCATATTCTTAACGGCCTAAAGTAAAAGTTACAGAATTCAATGTTAACAAAAAAGTTCCTTCACGCTATTTCAAAACAAAAGTAGTTTAAATAGGAATGATTTGTATGATCCTTTTAATTAATGTGATCAGTTTAGTCCTGACTCCCATTCACAGAACTGAAATTCTTACTAGTTAAAAATAGAATATTAAATCAGAAGTAAAAGAGGCACAGAATCTAGCTCTTTTATATTAGCATCTTCCTACACTCATCCTAAGAAATTACTTAAAGCTAGCAGACTTTTCTTTTTACTTCATGTATACATTCTATTCTCTACTAATGAATGTCATAGCTATCACTGTAACAATTTACATTTTAGAGTTTTCCAAAATATTTTAAGCAATTCTGTGTACACTTCTCTTTTGAAAGTTAGTATATACAATTATGACTCAAATTTCCAAACCAACTTAATATATAGTATTCAGTTATGCAATATAACCCCTATCATTACTTTGATGCAATATAATCACCAATAACTGATAAAAAATTTCATGTCAAAGGTTCAACTTTCAATAGCTGTGATATATAGTTGTCCTCTCCTTATTGACAATTTTCCTTTCTGCAGTTTCAGTTATCAGTGGTCAATATAGTGGTTCAAAAATATGAAATGGAAAATTCCAGAAACAAACAATATCTAACTTTTAAAGCACGTGCCATTCTGAGCAGCACGACGAAATCCAGCCCCGTCCAGCCCCGTCCAGCGCAGGACTCAGATCGCCCGCCTGCTCAGCGTGTGCCCCTCCCCAGTCTCGCCACGGGCGCTGTGAGAGAAGGGCGAGTCCAGGACAGCAAGGCAGCCTGAGACAGAGAGGGGGGCCAAGCTCACCAACTTTTATTTCAGTGTATAGTAATCATGGTTCTATTTGTTATTGTTAATTTCTTACTTTGCCTAATTTATAAATTAAGACTTTATCACAGGTATGTACTGATAGCAAAAATCAGGGAAGTCTCAGAATGTATCCTCTGTGGGTAGGAGGGGGGTTACTGTATGCAGCTTTATAGAAAACATGCTTACTAATAAGGTAACAACGATAATTCATAATACAAAAGGCTTTTTTGCTTCATGAACACATTTTTTTAATGTCACTTATTTCCCAAAATTAGTATAGTTCTCTAACACTGCAGATACACTGCTCAGAAGTTTATCTACACAAAATATACCTACATAAAAATTACTTTATTTATACAGAGAGTTAAAATACCTGTTCAGGTTGTTATAATATTTAAAAAGTAAAATTAGCATCTGTTTACTAATGAATACAGATTAGTCATTCCTACATGTACACTCAACTTTCTAAAGTTACAATACATTGCCCAGTAAAATATGGTCATTAATATTTTGACAATGTTTGCTTTTGGGTACCCATTTTTGAGAAGCTCGGAAGCTATTTGCCTCGGGAGCTTACCCTCGGTCCGCTCATCTGCTTTGTTAGCTGGCCCGTTCCCGTTCCCAGGTCTCTTAAGTGCCAACATTAATTCCACGCCCATGGGATAAACTCGGAGGGTTGTGATTGTTATTGTCCATTATCCTTATTACAGCACACAAGCCATTTATAACATTTACTTTTTTCTGTCAGGTTTCCTGTAAGAAAATGAGATATCCTGGAAATGGATATCAAGGGATCTTATTTCTAACTCTGGTTTTACTCCTTACTAGTTGTGTCTATGAACAAATCACTTAACCTCTCTGCATCTCAATTTCACTCTGTAAATTTGTAAAATGAGAACTTGTTGCTCTAAAATTTCATCTAGTGATGAGTTTGTAATTCTAATAAGTGGAATTGAGTATAGTTCTAGTTTAATAATCCCCAATGGAAATGCTACATGCTAATTTCTCAACTCATAATCTGTTTTTCTTTAAAAATATAAGGAGTTAAAACTTTCAAAAACATATATACCACATCTGTTTATCCATTCATCTGCTAGACATTCATGTGCAGGTTTTTGTGAGGACGTTTGCAACTCATTTGGGTAAATCCCTAAGAACACAATTACGGGACTGTATGTTCTAACGAACAAAATGAACTAACAAGCAAAATAGAGACAGACTCAGAGAGAGCAGGCTGTCAGCTGGATGGGGCCGGGGGAGGGGCTGGGGGCGTGGAGGGATTGAGCCAGAAAAGAAAAAGAGAGAAAAACCTCCTGGACAGGGACAACAGTGTGGTGACTGCTGGCCGAGCAGCGGGGGCAGGTGGAGGAGGATGCGGGGGAGGGGATGGTGCCTGGTGACCGGCTTGGGGCGGTGAACACACAATACAGAGGATGTGCTGTGGACCTGTGACCCGAAACCTGTATAATTCTGTTAACCAGTGTCATCCCAATAAATGCAATGAAAAGGGGAGAAAAGACTGTTTAGCTTTGTATGAAACTGACAAACTGTCTTCAAACGTGGATGTACCGTTTTGCACCTTCACCAGCATGCACGAGACTTACTGTTCCCCCGTTCCCACTGGGGTTCAGTGCGCTGCTGCTGGGCATTTTACCTATTTTAATAGCTGTGTAGTGGCATCTCAAGATTGTTTTAATTTCCAATTCCCTGATGGCATCTGATGTCAAGGTACCTTTTCATGTGCTTACTTGCCATCCAAATAGGTTCTTTGGTGAGGTGTCTGTTCAGACCTTTTGCCTATTTTTTTAAATTGTTTGTTTTCTCATTGTTGAATTTTAAGAGTTCTTTGTATACTGTGGATATAAGTTCTTTATCAGATATGTGTTTTGCAAAGTTTTTCTCTGCATGTCTCTTCATTCTCTTCAGTGTCTTTACTGAGGAAAAGCGTATAATTTCAATAAAGTCCAACTCATCTATTTTTACTTTCATGGATCATGCTTTTGGTGCTATATCTAAAAACTCAGCACCAAACCAAAGTCACCTAAATTTCCTTTTATGTCATCTTCCAGAAGTCTGATAGTTTTGCTTCTTACATTTAGGCCTATCATCCATTTTGAGTTAATTTTTGTGAAGGTCAGTGTATAGATTCTTTTTTCTTTTTTGCACGTGGATAAGTTTCAGTTCCATGTGTTGAAAAGGTTACCTTTCCTCCAGTGGACTGCCTCTGTCGCTTTCCCAGACATCAGCTGACTGCACTAACGTGTCTACTCCCGGGCTACCAGTCCTGCCCACCGGCCTGCCCGTCTGCTCCTTCACCCACGCCACACTGCCCGATTCCTGCGGCACTAAGTGCAGAAGCTGGCCTCAGTCCTCTGGCTTTGTTACTCTTCTTCGCTATAATATGGAATATTTTGGGTCTTTAGATTGTCTACATAAACTTAGAATAGTTTCTTAATATCCACAAAGTAGCTTGCAAAGGTTTTGACAGGGGTTCCATTGAATCTATGGATCAAGCTGAGAGGAAGCGACATCTTAATACTGAGTCTTCCTATTCACGTGCATTTACTAGGGTCTTTTTTATTTCTTTCATCCGACTCTTCTAGTTTTCCTTATATACATCTTGAAAATACTGTTTTTAATACTTCAAATATACTTTTCAAAAAGCCCTTAATGGTGAAAAAATAAAAAAGAAACCATTTGCACTGGAAAATAGTATTTGAATAAAAGTAATATTACTGTCTCAGAGTTTTGACACTATTCTCTCCCTTTGAAGCAAATTAACCTTATCAACTAAGAATAGCAAAATTCCCATAGCATGATAGCAGTTTGAAAACATGGCTCCAATTTATATTGTGCTTTAAATGGTAGTGGTGGGGGGGGGGGGGGAACATGGCTCTAAATTTTTTGACACTCCTCCCTCCCACCAAGAACTTGGGGTCCACGTTCCCTACTCCTAAAATCTGAGCTCAGTGACTGCTTGATTGGTAACAAAAGTGAGGCAATGCATGTTCCCTGGCTCAGGCCCTAACAAACTAGCAGCCTCCACTTCCTGTCTCTGAGAACACTGTTTCCTGGGGTGTTCACTCTTGTAAATCAGCCACTGTATTAGGAGGATATCGAAAGTGCCCCCCACCCCACAAGAGAACCACTTGAAGAGGAATCAGTATCTGCAACCTCTTTGCCAGCCAGGTGAGTGAGCTGTTGGACCTGTTTCACAAGCCCCTCCGCCCCACCTGAGGCCACCCCAGCAGACACCACGGGGGACAGAAATGAGCTTCCCTGCCAAACCCCACCCACAACGCCCATTTGTGAGTAAAATAAATAACTGCTATTTTAAGCAAATGAGTATTGGGGTAGTTCGTGTCTAACTAGAGACAGTAAAAGCATTCCTATAAATAACTGAATATGGCTTTATAAATATTAAAATTGAACCAGTTACAGCCCTGACTCACGTGGCTCAGTGGACTGAGTGCCAGCCTGCAAACCGAAAGGTCGCTGGTTTGATTCCCAGTCACAGTACATGCCTGGCTTGCAAAGGTCACCAGCTGGGGGCGTGCGAGAGGCAACCATACCTGTGTTTCTCTCCCTGGATTTCTCTCTCTCTTCCTCTCTGTCTCCAAAAAAAAAACAACAACAACAAAAAAAAACCCCCCCAAAAAACCCTCCAAAAAACCAATAAGTTAAAAAAAAAAAGTGAACCAGTTACTTCAAAGGACCAGAAATGATTTGCTGGATTTCTAACAAAGTA